GGTGTCCTCACCATGGCTGGTTTTACCGGCCGTCTTCTCTCCCCGACGCCGGCATCTTCAGTGTGGGCACCCGGCTGTGACAGTTTGTGGCTTCACAGCCGGGTGCCCACTGCACATGCGCGAGAAGCACTGCACTTTGTGAATGGTCCTGTAGTCTTCTGGGACCTGTCACGTGTCCCAGAAGACTACAGAGATGGGGGTGGGGGGCAGGACATCTTCCACTTCCAATCGATTGCCTTAGGCAATCTCAGCAGAAGTGGGAGCGAGTACCTGTCAAATTCGGGTACCCGCTCCCCAAAGGTGCCCAATCCTTTATGGGGAGCGGGGGACAAAGGCTTAAAGCAGGACTTCCCCTTTAGGGTGGAGTTCCACTTTAAGGAGAAGGATGCTACATGAATCATCTTCTCTTACTCAAGATGGCCACATCCAAAAATGCTAGGGGTGTTTTTCAAAGTGAATTCTCAACAGAATAAAGCCTGGAGACATGGATGGATGGGTGAGTTTGCTTTGAATATTTAAAATGAATGAAATAGCTTTTATGGTGCTCAGAAGCAGCATAGTCCCTGTGCAACAGAGACCTTTATGTGTCCAAAGTCACATGTTAGGGTTCTGGGCTAGGGTCAGGGTCAAATGTTAGGGTTAGCGGTAATTGCTAGGGTTAGAATGTTAATCCTAACAATTGCCACTAATCTTAATCTAACCCTACCCTCCCTAACACTAACTTTAACCCTAACATGTGACTTTGGACACAAAGGTTCCTGCACCACTTTGATGCGACTTTGATGCTTCCTGGGTGCCAGAGAGTGTAAAGTCACATCAAAATCACGCTACATGAACAGAACTGTCATGCTTTCCTATTAGCCAAAAAAAATGCAAAGTGCATAAAAAAAGTGTGTTCAAAAATACATAACAGCTGGTTTACTGGTACAGAAGGAATATACATGCAGTTTCCCCAAATAGCTATGTTAAAAAATAATAATAATAAACTTCATAATGTAAATGTGCCCCCAAACAAGTGTTGAATAAAGTGCTATTATAAATTTTTATTCTGTGATTTTGTTTTCTCCATTTATCACAAGACCAAAATTACATTTCTGGTAACAGTGTGGCAGTTATTCAAAATGAATTGTAGGGTTTTTTTATTATTATTTAATTTTTTTCTGCTTGTAAACTACACACTCAAATGAAGAAATATACAAAATACTTATTGTATGAAAAACATAGAAAAGAAAAATGAGCAAAAAAAAAGCTAAGGGCAGGTGTCATTCATTGTGACTTCCATGGATCTGCATCACTCGATATTGTGATTGATGAGGAATTCATATTGGGGGACTTTTTTTTTTTTTGCAATTGTTAAAAGGGTTTCCAGTTTCCAGATTTTTTTTCTAAGTTCTTTTATTATTGGCACAATATAAGTCTAGATTCACACCTAAGCGGTTTTCCATTTTTCAGAAATGCACTACAGTCCATTTAACACGATTTCCTATAGGAAAGGTTCACATCTCCGCGTTTTCACCCGGTGTGGTTTTTTGGAAAGGGTCAAGGACTTTTTAAATACAAAAAGTTGTGTTTTTGGTTCTATTGACTGCAATGGAAATGCTGCAGAAAAGCATGTAGTGCGTTTTTGCTGTGTTTTTTGCTGTTTTTTTGATGCATTTTACATTTTGAAATCCTAGCAACAAGGAAAACAAATGCAAAATGAGGCAAAAACTCAAGTTCTAAGCTTTTGGCCATGCAAAAACGCACCCCTTGTCTCCAGCCCAGATTTTCTCAGCAATTGGCAGAAGAGAGGAGGACAGAACTCTCCCACCAGATCCTGTGCTGTTTTTCGTGCAGCTAAGTAGAGACTCGTCTCTGCCCCCCCATCCCATCTTAGCAGGTGGCAGCAGTCTGGAGAACAGAACTCTCCCACCAGGTCCTGTGCTTCTCTGTGTAGCTGAGGAGAGACTCGTCTCTGCCCCCCTCCATCCCGTCTAAGCATCTGGCAGCAGAGAGGAGGACATAAATCCTACTACTGAATGCTATCCTGCATCTCTCCGCATTTGCAGCACCCCCTTCTTCCCCCCCCCCCCCCGTTTACCCCTTTAAATGAGCCCTAAAACAAGAACCATGTAATCAGCAAAATCACTGGGTGAAAATGTAAAAAATAAAAAAAAGTTTACGTAGCCATTACCTCTAAAAGTTAGTTAGTTTTTGCAATTGTGTTTTGCTGTTTTTTTTGCTGCATTTTACATTTTGAAATCCTAGCAACAAGGAAAACAAATGCAAAATGAGGCAAAAAACAACACATGCAAAAACGCCAACAAAAATGCAAACCGCACTGTAGAAACGGATCAAACGCAAACCACATAGCTGTGAACCTAGCCTTAAGGTTTCCAAGCACATTGCTTGCTATAGAGACTTGTTTGGACTGATATGCACAGTTCTTTCTAGCACACTGATTGATGCAGTTTTTTTTATATTACACTTTCAATTATTTTTTCCTTACGATATTATGATAAATATTTTTGTTATATTTAAGTGCTGCCAATTTACACCTCAATCTGATCATGCAGTGTTTTATAGGGGTACACCTTGTTTGGAAGCTGCTGGGAAGTTTTTTTTTTTTTTTTTTTTTCAATATATTTACCAGTTTATTTAGCTGTTTGTTTTATAATCCTGACTTTACTAAGTGCCTTGAGTTAAAATTAGCTTTCAATTGTCCAGCTTTATTCAACTGCTAAAAGCTGGTTTCCAATTGGTCACTATGAAGAAAGCTAACTGAACTGAACTTCAAACATCTAATTATGTGCACTTGCATTCTGCACTCTTTAATTTCCTTTTTCTTTTTTCGTTTTGACATGGACAGATTATGTTTACTTCTCTCACATTGTAGTAATTTAGAAGCCATGAATTTCACATTGCTCAGTTCATCTTTATTGCATAGGCCTAATACTGTCTCCTAGTGGCCTCTTTGAACACTACAATTCATATATCCATTAGCTCAGTGGAGATTTTTGCATATGTACAGTACATCCTCATCGATCATTTGATTGACAAGATCCATTGGAAACACAGAAGTAACATGTGTGGGCTAGTGGATCAACCTGTAGCAGAGCCTTCCTCTCCAAACTGATTGCATAGATTCTTTCTAAAGCTGGCCATACACGTGTTTAATTTTTTTGAGAATATGTGTAAGAAAAGTCGTCCGAAAATTCTTTGAACATTCAACGAATGTCGTTTGAAAATTGTCTTTTGCTTTTAAAATTCGACTTTAAAATTAATGTAATTTCTGAACGATAACCACACATACTAGCCGAAAATTTGTTTTATTGAGAAAAGTTTTTCCTTCCCGCCCCTTTCAATTTTATCGTCACTGCTGTCGAAAATGAACATTGATTCGACCCCACTAATAATTAGAAAATCAAAAGAATATTCTTGAAACTTAAATTCTCAAACGAAAATCTATACGTGTATGGCCAGCTTTACTCACACACGGGTGTTTTTGAGCATACCACATAAATTGCCAGCGTATGCCCTCTGAACTCTGCATCCAGGGCTGAACACCTGTACATATGCGCGGGTTTATGCAAGTAGTGGCATATACCTGTATACTACTGCATATAACAGTCACTGTTTGCTGAATGCTGCAGTAGTGTATCATGGGCATGGAAATATGTCTGCAATTTATGTTATATGCCAAAAAAGCACTTGTGTGCATGAGCTCTTATGTGTCAAACACAAGACCCATGGGCCGAATCTGGCCACCAGGCCATTTCATGTGTCCCATGCACCTATCCTACAGCTGTGCCCCCCCCCCCCCCCCCCTGTCTCCAGCCCAGATTTTCTCAGCAGTTGGCAGAAGAGAGGAGGACAGAACTCTCCCACCAGATCCTGTGCTGTTGCGTGCAGCTAAGGAGAGACTCGTCTCTGCCCCCCCATCCCATCTTAGCAGGTGGCAGCAGTCTGGAAGACAGAACTCTCCCACCAGGTCCTGTGCTTCTCTGTGTAGCTGAGGAGAGACTCGTCTCTGCCCCCCTCCATCCCGTCTAAGCATCTGGCAGCAGAGAGGAGGACAGAAATCCTACTACAGATCCTGCATCTCTCCGCATTTGCAGCACCCCCTCTTCCCCCCCCCCCCCCCCGTTTACCCCTTTAAATGAGCCCTAAAACAAGAACCATGTAATCAGCAAAATCACTGGGTGAAAATGTAAAAAATAAAAAAAAGTTACGTAGCCATTACCTAAGAGTTAGTAAACTGCAATATATATATATATATATATAATGTATGTATGTGTGTATATATATATATATATATATATATATATATATATATATATATATATATATATATATATATATATATACACATACACACACACACACTATATTGCCAAAAGTATTGGGACGCCTGCCTTTACACGCCCATGAACTTTAATGGCATCCCAGTTCATAGGGTTCAATATTGAGTTGGCCACCCTTGACAGCTAGAACAGCTTCAACTCTTCTGGGAAGGTTTAGGAGTGTGTCTATGGGAAGGTTTGACCATTCTTCCAGAAGCGCATTTGTGAGGTTTGGCACTGACGTTGGACGAGAAGGCCTGGATAGCAGTCTCTGCTCTAATTCATCCCAAAGGTGTTCTGTTGGGTGAGGTCAGTACTCTGTGCAGGCCAGTCAAGTTCCTCCACCTCAAACTCGCTCATCTACGTCTTTATGGACATTGCTTTGTGCACTGGTGTGCAGTCATGTTGAAACAGGAAGGGGCCATCCCAAATTGTTCCCACAAACTTGGGAGCATAAAATTGTCCAAAATATCTTGGTATGCTGATGCCTTAAGAATTCCCTTCACTGGAACTAAGGGGCCAAGCCCAAGTTATGATCCCCCCTCCACCAAACGTTACACTTGGCACAATGCAGTCAGGCAAGTACCATTCTCCTGGCAACTTCCAAACCCAGACACGTTCATCGGATTGCCAGATGAAGCATGATTGGTCACTCCAGAGAACACTTTTCCACTGCTATAGAGTCCAGTGGCAGTGTGCTTTACACCATGGCATCCGACGCCTTGCATTGCACTTGGTGATGTAAGACTTGGATGCAGCTGCTCGGCCATGGAAACCCATTCCATGAAGCTCTCTATGCACTGTTGTTGTGCTACTCTGAAGGCCACATGACGTTTGGAGGTCTTTAGCTATTGACTTTGCAGACAGTTGGTGACTTCTGCGCACTGTGTGCTTCAGCATGCGCTGACCCCGCTCTGTCATTTTACGTGGCCTACCACTTCATGGCTGAGTTGCTGTTGTTCCCAGTTGCTTCCATCGTGTTATAATATCACTAACAGTTGACCGTGGAATATTTAGTAGCAAGGAAATGTCACGGATGGACTTATTGTACAGGTGACAACCTATCACGTTACCACGGTTGAATTCACTGAGCTACAAGTGTTTGTAGAAGTAGTCTGCATGCCTAGGTGCTTGATTTTATACACCTGTGGCCATGGAGGTGATTGGAACACCTGAATCCAATGATTTAGAGGGGTGCCCAAATACGTTTTTTGCATTTAATACTTCTTTTTTACTTTCCTAAGCACCTTGCTACGTATAGAAAGGATGCATAAATGCTGGTAAAACAGAGTGCAAATTACCATGCCCCCTCATTACACACAGACATACATAAAAATACGACAGCAAACTCGTACAGTATATACGTTTTATTATATTATGGTATAAGAAAATGAAAATGGTAGATTGGAAGAATGGAAGATTTCATTTTGTAGATTTATCAATTTGTGTGGCAGAGTTTCATGCACAAAGCACTGTTTGAGTCCAAATTTCACAATTCACCTACATAGGGATCCACTGCAATCAAAGTCTGCCTATAGGAAGAAGATGGTACTGTGGGCTTCCTAAGCCCCGAGGGCCAGAATTAGTTTTCCCACTCCAGCAAACATTAGAAATTCACAAAACAATGATAGAATACTATGTGAATATTTGTACATTGGGCTAACAGTGGGCAATGTATGATTACTAATAAAAAAAAAATCAATTTATATAGCGGGCTGTAATCTGTGCTGTTTAGTTTCATTTCCGCTCAGCAGATGTTTTTATTCCCCATGTTCCTGTTTAATTACGTATCAAGGCAATGGCTGTATTAATCGCATTTCTGAGTCATATCCACACTGTTCCCTCAAAAGCAGAAGTCGCTCACTGATATAATGAAAACAATTTCTTCAGAATGCCAAAGCAGAGATAAGAGCATTTTTAACACATAAAAATGAGAATATAATTACGTCTATATTTGAAACACTAAGGCTTCTTTCATATGGGTGGCAGCTTCAGTTGACAGTCGATATGTCACTACATCTTGTTGCAGGGCAGTTGCTGCGTGGCCCCATTCACATAAAAGGCTCCTGTTTTGTGGCATGTATACGGCCCTGATTAACTACATGTTCTCTTTTAGGTGGGCAATAAAACCACGGCTCAGCTGCCTATTTGTACTGCTCCCCAGTTACCTGTGTGAACAAAGCCTAAAACAAGAACCTTACACTGGCCCGATCAGTGCGATTTATTTTTTTATATGTATTTTCCATCTTTTATATATTTTTTGTGTTTGCATTTTTTCCATGTTTCTTTTTCTCCTGTGCAATGCTATTTTATTCCAGGGGAGTGTATATAATTCTAATGGAAAATTTCAACAGCAATGAAGGAGTTAAACTTTGCAGGGGGCAGAGGAATGAAATACATAGGGAATGCTCTATACACCTATGTTAGTCTTTGATAAAGATTGTTACAAATGAAATGCGTCGGCAGAACATTCAACTCTCTCTTTATCAACTTTTCTCGACCAGTGTTCCATGGAGCCCTAGGAGCACCTGTGTCAGACACAAGGTCCACAGGCTGAATTTGACCCGCCAAGCCATTTTATGTGGCCCTCGCACCTCTCCTGTATCTTAGGCACCACCCTCGTCTCCACCCCCACTCTGTCTGTCACTCTGTAGGGACAGAACACCTTTGCCAGACACTGTGCTTCTCTGTGCAGCAGCTGAGAGGCTCATCTCTGACAACACTCGTCTCAGCAGTTGGCAGCAGAGAGGAGGACAGAACTCCTCCTATAGATCCTGCACCCCCCCCCCCTCATCGCCTCCTCCCCTGGTCTCAGCATTCAGTAGACTCTGGCAGCTGACTCCAGCCCTCCTCTGGTCCTCCTCCAGACCCTGCACTTTCTACTTCCCAGCTCCAGACCCAGCTTCTTCACAGCAACAGCATAAGGTAAGAGCGGTGCACTTTGATGTAAGGGGGGGGGATCTTGTCATCAGATTTAAGGGGGGGGGGGGGTACTCATGAAATCTAATCTCACAGATACAACAGGCCCAGGTTCTTGAACAATAAGCAACTTCTGCCTACCAGATGCGTAACCATTGGAATCACTGATGTTTTTAGCTACCCATAAGGAGGGACTCTTCCTAATGACCACAAATGTAAGGAGCAGTGTCTCCAGTGACCATCACAAAAATGTACCATTAGCTGTAGATTTAGTAATCATTTGCAGGTGTTCCTTGAGTGTGGAAAGTTAAAGTATATGTAAACCCTCACCTTGAAAAACATCCCATTCAGTGTAAAATAGAAAGGAAATGCAAAACATTTATGTATATATTTAAAAAACATTATAAATACTTTTTTCCCCTTTTTATAAGTGATCACATAATCTCTGTTCTCAGCTGCATGAGGAGCTCAGGGAGTAGAAACAGCAGCACTCTGGTCTTCCCAGTGAATGGCGTACAGGGGTGAGGGTGCATGTCAGGACAAGTCTGGTCATTGGAGGAGAGCAAGCTGAGTTCTCAGCACAGACAGAGAACTGACCACGCTGTGCTCTCATGCCTAACGTGGTCAGTTTTTAATAGGAAAGCAGAGGGATTGGCAGGAACACCAGGAATTTCACACAAAGGAAGCAATACAAAGAGAACAGGATACTTTTTGGTACAAATACATGGTACAGCAGGCGCATATCAGGAAAATGAAATATTGGGTTTACATATTCTTTAATCCCAGGGTTCCTCCATGTGAAGGCAGAGAAGGGCTGCTCTACAGTATCATTGGCTTTTACCATCATACTACCACCTGTCAGGAGATCACTGGCTGAGGCTCTGGCTGGTCTGATGCACTCTTCCCCTAGGTATGATATCTGTGCTGGACACCTGCCAACAAGACACACACTTAGCCCTGGTTCACATCTGTGCGGTCGTGCGGGCTGCAATTTGCGCAGGCACAAGAGCCCATCCATTTGAATGGACTCCCATGCCCTGGGACACGAAGGGAAGAAGTCCCTGCACTACTTTGGAAATCGCAGCCCACACGGGAACTAAGTTTCCCAGGACGGTTGCAATTTCCAGTGCGGATGGCATGCCATTAGAATTAATGGCACCCACTTGTGGGTCCCGCATTCCTCTGTGTGGGTGGTGCGGCTGCAGGTATTTGTGCAGGTCCCATAGCGGCACCACCCGCACAGATGTGAACTGAGTGTTAGGTGGAACACCTTACGGCTGACTAATTGCGGGCTGTCATACATAGATGGACAAGTAAGTATCCAATATGATGTTTTATCACTGGTTTATGTATTATACATGGATGGGGCTACGTTGGTTTTAATAGGATACATTTTTTGCCATTTGTATTTTAATAGTGTTACACTTTAATGATATTTTTTAATATCTTTTGTTACTTTCTTGTGGCTAAGGTCTCTTTCACATGGAATGGCATCTGCTCCCCTGCTGATTGGAGCCGAGTGGGACAGATGTCACCCATCTGTGTCCTGTTCGTTTATGCAGCCAGGTGTAAATGGACTTCACTGACCATTTACATCATGCTACCTCCGATCTGCTCTGCAAAAACAGAAAAGAATGCAGGCCTCTTCCTTTTCTTCTGGACCTGGAGGACATAAGTCCATTTACACCTTCCTGTCTATGGGGCTGCATGGACCATCCGATCAGGTCTGCCTTAACCACTTGCTGACTATATAACATATATATAAGGCAGCAGAGCGGCTCTCCTGCACTAGATCATGTACTTTGTATGTGATGTGCACGCTTGAGCAGGGGTGCACACACGTGCCCACTGGCCCTGCTGTGCTGTGACTCCTTACAGCACATGAGATCACCGGGTCTCAGTCAATGATTGACCACTGGAACCCGGTGATCGGCAGAGAACACAGCTCTTTCATTGTAGATAATGCAGAGCTGTGTTCACTAACAAGGGATCTTCTTGTTTTTTCATTCCTGTCAAGCATCACACATTACACGGGTTACACACAGAGGTTATCCCCTTGATCACCCCAGATGTTAACCCCTTCCAGCCAGTATCACTATTGCAGTGGCAGTGCATTTTATTAGCACTGATCACTGTATTAGTGTCACTGGAGATGTCAGTGGTAGTTAGTTCCCCCCCAGTGTCAGTTATTGCCCGCCACACTATTGCAGTCCTGGTATGAGTCACTGATCACTGCCATTAGTAGTATAAAAAAGATAAATAAAAATTCCAATATATATCCCATAGTTTATAGACACTATAACTTTCACACAAACCAATCAATATACACTTATTGGGATTTTTTTTTACCAAAGACATGTAGCAGAATACGTTTTGACCTAAATTTATGAAGAGATTTGATTTTTTTTATATATATTTTTTTATTGGATGTTTTATAACAGCAAGTAAAAAAGATCATTTTTTTTTCAAAATTTTCAGTCTTTTTTCATTTATATTGCAAAAAATTAAAAACCAAGAGGTGATCAAATTCCACAAAAAGAAAGCTCTATTTGTGTGAAAAAATTAGATAAATCTCATTTGGGTGCAGTGTTGCATGACTGTGCAATTGTCAATTAAAGTAACGCAGTGCCAAATAGCAGAAAACAGCCTGGTCATGTGAAGTGTCCAAGTGCTGACTGAATATTTATTTTACTGTTTTACTGTGTGTGGATATATCTTTTTTTCAGTCTTGGCTGCTGCATTTTACATTGGGCTTTTTACTTTGATTGCACTATAAGGTGTTTTTTGCTGTTTTTCACCTTTAAAATTTACAATTATTTATTATATCACTTTGCAGCGACTTTATTATTATTTATTTCAGGTACTTATATAGCGCCATCAATTTACGCAGCGCTTTGCATATATATTGTACATTCACATCAGTCCCTAACCCTCAAGGGGTGTACAGTCTAAGGTCCCTAACTTACATTCATACACATACTAGGGACAATTTAGACAGGAGCCAATTCACCTACCGGCATGTTTTTGGAGTGTGAGAGGAAACCAGAATACTCGGAGGAAACCCGCACAGAGAGAACACGCAAACTCCAGGCACGGGGTGCCGTCGTTGGGATTCAAACCAATGACCCTAGTACTGCCAGGCAAAAGTGCTAACCATTGAGCCACTGTGCTGACTTGTGCTACATGGCTGTTCTGGAATAAA